TAAAAATAAATATTATAAATAATATAATATTTATAATTTATTTATTCTTACCAAAATGTTTTGATACTTCATTTTGTTTATTTGAAAAACTTCCTGAATCTTCTTAGTAGAAATATATCATTGTATTGGTTTTTCAATAAAGATTGGTGGCATTATTGTTAGTATTAGTGTTGGTGTTGATGTTGGTGTTAATATTATTATTGGCATTAGCGTTGGTGTTAGCATTAGTGTTGGCATTTGATATTAGCGTTGGGTTTGCTTCTTGCAAAGCTTTAATCTCCTATAAATTTTTTTATGAATATTTATTATTTGAAATGTAGCAAAATACAATTATTATCACAAAAATTACCGATAATACTTGTTGCATTGTAGATAAAATTGTTTCCATTTTAAAGGCAAAAAAAATTAAGTTTGTTGGTTTATTGTAAAAAAAATTGAGGAAAAAAAAATTAAAAAGATTATATATATATATAAAAAAAAAAAATAAATAAACAAAATCTTGTGATATTATTAAAAATAAATAATAATATGATTAATAATATAATAATCTACATCTAGATTTGAAAAAATCACATGACATGATATAAATGAAACAAATTTATTTATGGTTATATGCTATGATAATCAAATTATAATTCTATTGTAAACACTGTATATCTCTAATAAATAAAAAAGGGAAAATATAAATAATTTATTGTAATTTAAAAAATTTTTTTTTTTACAATTTTAAAATTTATTTTCATTTTATATTAATTTTTATCAAAATATCTTCAGAAAAATTTTTTTATAATAATCATTTTAATAAAAAAAGCAAAATACTTTTTATAAGTCATGAATAACATCTGTATATTTTGCAACATTGGAATTTTTTTGTGGTACTGTAATAAATGTTACTAAATAATATAGAACAGAACTTACAGCATTTATAAGTTTGTGTCAGAAAAAAGCTAAAAAAATAAAATTAAATAAAGTACTTAAAATATTTGAAGATATGAGTTTAGTAAGTAATTGTATAATGATATTATAGGCCTAGATCATTTTTTATATATATGTTTTATAATTATTTTAATAGAAATATTATATATATATATATGAGTTGTATCGTTGGATATTTGGCTATTTTGCTATTAATAAATACTAGGTTTGATATGGACAAACAATGCCTTTGTGTATCTCATAATCATTTGTCAGCATACTAACTCATAATATATTGAAATATACTTATAAGTATATGAGTTATATTGTTGGTATTTGACTATTCTACTATTCATAAATACTAGGTTTGATATAGGCAATGCCTTTGTGTATCTCATAATCATCTGTCAGTATATTACTCATAAAATACTTTAGTAATTCTATTTTTTAAAAAAAAAAATTCAAAATTATATTTATTATTATAATATTTAGTAACTTATATCTTTTTTATTATATAATCTTTTATTTATTTAGGATCAGCGTAAGGCAATTTATCAAAAAGCTTACAATTATGAAAAAAGACAGGTAAATAAATAATCAAAATATTTTAATAAGATTTTATAATTCTTTGTTTAATTAAATTTTTTTAATTTTGCATAATTTATTAGAACAAGAAGAAAATGTTAATATTCTTCGATCAAATATGAATAATATAATTAAGAATTATGCAAGAAAAATTATAAATTTTATGTATAATCATTTTTTAAAAATACTAATATATTTTATTTTTATTAGAATAATTAAAGATTGTTCTAAAGAAACAAGTGAGATATTAAATGAAATTATATCATTTATATCTCAGCTTGATCTTTCAAAAATGAAATATAATACTCCATTAGCATGCGGAATTTTAGATGTTTGTCAAGGAGTAGATTTAAATTTTGAATATATTTCTGAAGAGACGTTACAAGATCTACAAAAAGTGGATTTTGAAGTACCAAACTTTTCAAATAAAGCAAATGATAAATGAATTTATTCAATCATAAGATGATCATTTTAAATGTAGATTTAAATGATCCAATTACATTTCCCAAAAATGTAAAAGATCTTAAAAATCTTAGATGCTTAAAATCAATATTTGATTTATAGAAGAGCTTAAGACCAATATTAGATGAAACTGATGATTATAGTGAAAATAGTTACGTAACTCAAGATTTCTTGAATTTTTTTTTTAAAATGATTTTCGATTCTTTTATACGAAATACTAATGATAATGAAAATATGAAAATACCCTTTTGTATACCAATCGATCGATTTAATTTAATAAAAAGTTATAAAATGAAATAAAGAAATCACACTTTTTTTTACTTTGTAAAAAAAAACTTTTATTTTTCTATCCGACTTCGTTACATTTTATCAATATATTAAACAGTTTATTGGTAAGATATTTTATCTACGATTGCATCGATTTTTTGAATTCGAATTGTGATTATGTTCTATATTGTTTTACAATTGAATTAAATAAATGTTCAAGAAGAGTTATTCGAATCGATTTTTGGTTACTACGTAACTTACTCGTCATCTTTAATTCTTTCTCTTTTTTTCTCCATATTTACTTTCACTCATCTACCATTTTTTTTATTTTTATTTTTATTTTTTTTTTGTTTCCATGATATTTTCAGGAATGATTTAACAAATGCTCCAAGAGGCCTCGTAAGAGAATTTGTAGAAAAACATAAGTCACACTGTAATCACAAAACTTTTAATAGCGAATAATGGTATAGCGGCTGTTAAAGAGATTAGATCTATTAGAAAATGGGCTTATGGACATTTGGTGATTGAAGTTAACAGTGATGGCTACTACTGAAGATTTAAAGATTAATGCTGAATGTATTCGTATGACTGATGGTGGTTCTAATAATTATTATTATGCTAATGTTTCATTAATTGTTGATGGGCTGGCTGGAAAGCATCATTCTAAAAAAAAATTTAATAATAATACCGTGTATATATATCAATTTCTTTTAATCTAATGAAATATGATTTGATTTTGATCTTCTCATATATAGGGGACATGCATCCGAGAACCCTAAATCACCCGAATCATTAGCGCAGAGTAAACATAAGATAGTTTTCATTGGTCCTCCCGGTTCAGTGATGTTGATAAAATATCATCTACGATCGTTGCTCAATCTGCAAGATGGTTTGGAATGTCATCCAAACTGAATTTGATGAACTAGGTCATGTTATTGTTTCCGAACGTTTACGACGTGCGTCAAGGACGTTGATGATGGGAAAAATAAAAGCAAATATCATTGGATTTCCTATTATGATCAAAGCTTCAGAGGGTGGAGGAGGAAAAGGAATTAGAAAAGTGGAAAATCCAGATAATTTTAAGCAAGCATTTGCTCAAGAGTTCCTGGTTCACCGAATGCGACTTGCTCGAGATGCTCGTCATCACGAAGTTCAAGCTTTAGCGGATCAATACGGAAATGCGATCTCCTTATTTGGAAGAGATTGTTCGGTTCAAAGACGTCATCAAAAGATCATTGAAGAGACTCCATTTACGATTAAAAAACAAGAGACTTTTGACTTGATGGAAAGAGCTACTGTCAGATTAACTAAATTAGTTGGTTGTGTTAGTGCGGGAATCGTTGAATATCTTTACAGTCACGAGATATATTTTTTTTGTTTTCTTGAATTTAATCCAAGATTAAAGGTTGAACATCCTACGACAGAAATGGTTTCAGGTGGGAATTTACCTGCTCAACTACAAATCGCTACAGGAATTCCATTTCATCAAATTCGTGATATTAGAGTTGAGAATGTGGATGTCAATTTCGTTAAGTAAATGAACCAATCGTTTGGGTTTACTGCATTTTTGTGTGATATTTTGGAGTTTTTGGGCAGCTTTTAAATTTCGTATAACGGCGGAAAATCCTGACGGCAGGATTTAAACCAAGTAGTGATATGGTGGATGAACTTAATTTTCGCAGCAGCACGAATGTTTGGGGCCGATTCTCGGTTAATTATGGCGGTGGCCTTCATGAGTTTGCTGATTTCAATTTGGTCATATTTTTCGCTTATGAGGAGAATCGTGCTCTTACCGATGGTGGGTTATTAGTTTTGTTAGTCGGGCCATACTTGTTATTTTCGAGAAGAAGTTCAAGGAATACAATTGATGATTAATAGTTAAACTTGTTTATTTGAACAAGAAAATGGTCCAACACAACTTCGTTCACTCTCTCCTGGAAAGCTTGTGAGATTTTTGGTGGAGTCTGGCGGTCATGTAAAAAAAGGTGAGGATTACAAGATTATCGATTCGTAAAAGAATCATGTTAAGTTTTATTTTTTTATATCATCTAAATTATTTAACATTGATTATTATTTAGGTGATCAAAATGTACATGCCGCTTATCGCAACAGATGGTGTTATTCAATTTATAAAACAACAAAATTCTACGCTCGAATCCGGTGACATTATTGGAATTCTCACTCTTGATGACCTAGTCGAGTTCGCCACGCGTTACCTTTTGAGGGACAACTTCCTGTAATGAATCCGCCTGTTTTAGTCGGTGGCAAAGCTCATCAGAGATATTGAGAAGCCAAGCATATCCTTGAATGTATATTGGATGGTTATGATAATCAAGCAATGTTACAGAGTAGCATCAAAAAATTAATTGAAATTTTAGAAAATTCCGATCTTGAATCTCATGCAGTATTTTCAGCACTCTCCGGAAGAATCCCGGCCAAACTTGAAGCAGCTTATTGAGGATTTCTAATGAGACGCATAGTCAAGGATTAGAATATCCTGCTAAACGATTAAAAGAAATGATTGATAATTATTCTCTCGATTTTTCAAACCTTCAGACCTTTCAAGTTTAAATCTGTGGTCGCTCCCGTGAATAACGATATGTTTGTGGTCTAAAGCACCTAAAGTGGAATGATATCCTTATTTATTAAGAAAGTATCATGATGATGTTTTATTCTCGAATTCTAACAAAAGTGAAGAAGAAGCTGTCTATGCTTTTACGGGACGAATACAAGAATAATCTGGACAAAGTCGTCAAAGTTGAGTCAAAGAATAACCTGATATTACATCTTTTAGATCAGATTAGGCCCGCAAATGTTGGACAAACCCTTGACAGATCTATTCACCGATTTTGAATAAATTGGCGGAACTTGGAGGACGTTTCGCAACCAAAGTTGCATTGAAGACGCGTGAATTGTTGATTCATTGTCATTTATCTTCTTATGAAGAAAGTATTGAAGGCTGCAGATATAGAGTCATTATGGAGATGATGATTATAATTACCGAACCCCAAGATATGATTCTCTTAAAGAATTAATTGATACTCGATTTGCTGTTTTCGATGTTCTTCCGAATTTCCTTTATCATCAAGATAATTGGGTTGGGCTTGCCGCATTAGAAGTTTACGCCCGACGCCCTTATCGTGCCTACCAACTTATAAACATTAAATACCAAGCCCCATTTATGGTCTCTTTGAACTTCTCACTTCATAATGCTACGACTGACAGTCCAACTGGTTCGGTCGAAAGCCCCTCGTTTTTTAGTATGAGATGTTCAGCGTCAATATCAGATTTAAGTTATTGATTCCGGAAACCGAGAATGAACACTTCGTGTTGGCGCCATGATTTCCTGCACTTTGAATGAAGAAATAGAAAGAAATATACCACGAATTTAAAACTTTTCCCAAAAATACAAACTGTCCAAGGATGGAAATCTCAGGATCCATCAGATAGATACAATATAAATAACGTTTTGAACTTCGATTTAAGACTGGAAGATGATGCTATAGAGGATGAAGCTTTGAAAAAACAACTCAAACCCCCTTATACAACGACATTCTTATGAATTACGTGAACATGGGATAAGAAGAATTACTATTGTCCAATTTCGTAAAGGTCAATATCTGGGGTATTCCATGAAATAACAGATATACTGAATATCGAACAATTCGTCATATCGAACCAGCCATGGCCTATCAACTTGAGCTTATAAGGTTAACCAATTTCGATATTACTCCTTGCTTTCCTGCAAGGTTGCGAAATAGCGTTAGTACGGCGGAATATCTAATCTCGGAGTCCGACAGATTATTGAGTTAGATTTAGGATTCTCTTGAGATCGTTAGTTCAAAACATAAGAATTCTGACTGCAATCATTTATTTATAAATTTCATTACAACATTTGTGTTAGAACCAAAACAAGTTGAAGCTGTTAAAGGATTTATTGATCGTCACGGCAAAAGATTATGGAGATTGCGTCTGACCGGAGCCGAAGTTCGTTTCAAAGTTGAAGACTCTACATTAGGAACAAGTTATCCTTTACGTGTCATCATTAATAATGTCTCCGGGTATGTTGTTAAATTAGAAACTTATCAGGAGGTACAGAACTTGAAGCTGGATTCTTAAATCAATTGGTCGACCGCACTTGCAACCAACTCACGCAAAAGAATGGCTTCAACCAAGGCGTTATAAGACTTATTTGATGGGTACCACCTACGCTTACGATTTTCCTGAATTATTTCGCCAAGCTATTAGAATACGATGGAATCGTGCATCTTATCATAGTTCAAACCTTAAATATTCTAGTGATGTTTTGGAAGCCAAAGAACTTGTGCTTGACGAGAATAATAATTTACAAGAAGTGGAGAGAGCTTCGAAACGAATTCATTTGGTATGGTTGCAAATATCTTTACTCTTTTTACCCCCGAATATCCCAAAGGTAAAAAGATTATCGTGATTGCAAATGACATCACATATCATATTGGTTCTTTTGGTCTTTTAGAAGATCAATTTTTCTACAAAGCAACCGAATTGACAAGATCATTGGAATACCTAGAGTATATTTTCAAGGATTGGATTGGCGGAAGAAGTTATGAATCATTTTAACGTTGCATTGATTGATAAAGGAAATCCAAGCAAATATATCTAATATCTTTATCTTGATTTGAGTCATATAAGCAATTACATCAAAATGGAAGGAAGTCCGTTATCGCGGAGAGGAAGGAGAAACACGACATAAAATCACCAATATTATTGGATCAAAAGATGGGCTTGGTATTTAATGTTTAAAGGGTTCAGGATTAATCGCTTGGATAGCATCGCGAGCATATGAGGACATTTTCACAATAATGTTAGTTACTTGTCGTTCAGTTGGTATGTATTTATTGCAAGTCAATTTTTAAAAAAAAAATTTTTTTTTTAAACTTCTTATTATTTTTTATTAAGGTATTGGAGCTTACTAAGTATGTAAGATTGGGACAGCGTACTATTCAAAATGAGGGTCAACCCATAATATTAACGGAGCACCAGCATTGAATAAAGTGTTGGGAAGAGAAGTTTTATAACAGGAAATCTACAACTTGGAGACACGCAAATTATGTTTAAAATGGAGTTTCATATCTGACTGCACAAAATGATTTGGAGGGTATTACAAAGATTATGCAATGGCTTTATTACGTCCAGCAGTTGTATTTTTTCTGTATGAATTCAGATACTTGGGACAGGGATGTTAATTATATGCCTCCCAAAGGGCCTTACGATCCAAGATATCCAAGATGGTTAATTGCGGGCAAATTACCCTTAATTATTTAGCTAATTGGCATATATTTTCAGGTGGTCAAAGGACATGTTTCAAGAGATTCTAAAATATGTATCTTATATCGTGGATGAACTTACCAACTACAAGCAGTATGTATTTGTTTATATTTCCAATGGAGAACTTCGTGGTGGTGCATGGGTTGTAATAGATCCTACCATTAACGATGATATGATGGAAATGTACGCCGATGAAAAATCAAGAGCTGGAGTACTTGAACCCGAAGGAATTGTAGAAATCAAATTCAGAAAGCCACAATTGCTCGCAACAATAGAAAATGTACCGTAATCTTAAGAAATCATCAAATGATCTGACAATATCTGAATCGCAAAAACGAGAAATTAAATTACAGTTGGATGCAAGGGAACAAGAATTATTACTGATATATTCACGAATGGCGATTCAATTTGCAGTTTTACATGATACACCAAGAAGAATGAAATCCAGAGAAACGATAATAAATTCGTTAGAATGGAAGGAATCTAGAAGATTCTTTTATTGGCGTGTTTGAAGAAGGTTACATGAAGAGTACATATTTAGAAATTTGATCAAGGCAATTATAAATTGACTAGAAACGAAATAAATTGGTTTAAAAAGGATAATAATATTGAAAGCGATAATAATGAATTTGATTGGGAAGAATCTGATGAAGAAATTGTGAAATGGTTTGAAAAAACCTTGGATGATGATAGTGATAGATTCGAATGATGATAATGATGATATTATCGTAATACTGAAAATAACGATTAATGAAAGAATTGAACAAATTTAGAAATAAAGTTATAGCGCAAATATTTTAACAAAATAATTATAAATGAAAATTTAGTTGGGAATAGAATTCAACCAATTAGTATATAAATGTATTCTTTACATATTAATTAATGATTTTACATGCTGATTTTCTTTTACATCAACCTTTTAATTTTTAAAACAATAAATGATACGTAATTTTAAAATATTTAAATATCATGATTGGACCTTTAGACTTAATTGGTATATTATTTTAGAATATTAATTTATTATAAAAATATTATATAATAATAATATATAATAATTAATTTTAATTGTTTAGGGATAAATCATCAAATTCATCAAAAATCACCAAGGTGAATATGCAATCTGTTCATTTAGGAGATATTCCAGATTATTTGGTCCTTATAAATGAATTTGATATGGAGATTGTTATTGGTGAAATTTCACGATTATTTTCTCCATCTGGTAAGGAAAATTATGATTGGAAAAAAATAAATTGTAAATGTAAAGATGGATTTGATATAAGAAGAGATTTATTAATAAAAGGTAAGGATTTTAGAAATAAAGAAGGGAGATTAATAATAAATGATCTTCTTCAAATTCCTTTTATAGGAATTCAAGTAATAAAGAATGATATAATAGTTTTCGGAATTGATAGTTACAAAAATTTTTTTATCATTCTTTTGAAATCATTAAATATAATATTCCATTAAGAGTTTCAAAATGGTAACATTATAAAAGAATTTTTAAAAAATTTTTTAATAGTAAAAAATTATATAAATAAAATGATAAGTAATCTTTTAGAAATTAGAAATAGAATTGAAAAATTACCAAAACTTGAAGATGAAATAGAAAATTCTGATTGTAATATGACAAAATATTAATAAAAATATATTTTGAAGCGAAGATGATATGTTCTTTAATTATACAGTTAAATTAATAAGACTTTCTATCATTAGAACATAAAACATATTTAGGGTTTGGTAATTTATGAAATTGATAGAATTCAAATAATATAACGCTACATTTGATATACTTGTTTATAAAGTATTAGGTATTTTTAACATTTGATTTTATTATCAACATTCACAAATTTAACGAAAAAATATACCAAAATGAAAATGATCGAAAAAAATTTTTTTTTAAAAAAAAAATTTATTATAATATATATAAAAAAAAATATAATAAAAAATTAAAATAAAAATATTAAAAAAAAAGTAATAATAAAAAATAAAAATTAAATTAAAATTAAAAATAAAATAATAATAAAAATTAAAATAAAATAAAAAATTAAAAATTAAAAATTAAAAAATAAAAAATAATAAAAAATAAATAAAAAATTAAAAAATTAAAAATTAAAATAAAATTATTAAAAAAATAAAAAAATAAAAAATAAAAATTAATGCCTTCTCGGTAGTGTTCCGTACTAGAGATCGGAACCGGTTTTGATTTTATAAACCGGTTTTATTTATACCTCCAAAATTGAAATCACATATAAACTGGTTAAAATCGATAAACTAATAAACCAGTTTAAATCGATAACTGATAAATCGTTAAACCTTAAATATTAAATAAAAACTTTATTTATAGTATACCATTGTAGTTGCCATAATCCATATTTTACAAATATATAGCATTTTTAAGTTCGATAAGCTTCAACATAGTTTGTACCTTCTTGATCGTTTTTGCTACTCGTCATCAAGAGGATTTGTTTTACAAATTAATTTTTAATTGCTGAGAATCTTTTCCTTCACATTGTGCGATAATTTCCTTTAATAATTTCTTTCCAATGTTATTGTTGTCTAATTCTTAGTCTAATCATTCTTCATTTTTCCTTAGTTTTATATTCTTCTTCTCTTTATTCTTACTATTCTTAACGTTAGTCTAAGCTTTTCAAACCTCGCATAGTTTCAGTAGCTTCAGCGTCAATAGACCATCAGCATTATATATACATTACTTTCACTATGAGTATCCAGAATACTATTCGAGTACTAGGCATCAACTATTCTTAGTCTATAACTATTTCTTTATGTTGTTTATTCATTCTTTATATTCGTACTATTATTAATTCTAAAATTATATCTTTATTTCTTTTGAGTATTTCTTCTGAATATTGCTTCCAAATATATTTTCTGAGTGTTACTTCTGAATATTATTCTCATTATATCCTTAAATACTACTATTTATTCTTTTCTTTACGTTTAAATATTTTTTAATTTCATATTTATTTATTATTCCTTCTGAGTTTTATTCCTTCTTTACTTCATTAATATTTTTCTAAAATTAAAGTTTATATACAAGTGAAATAACTTATTTATTTCCATAATTTTATTGTTCAACAATTAATTATTTCAAACAAAAGTATTCATTTTTATTTATGTTAAAAGTTTATTTATTAAAATAATTTTTTTTTTTATTCTTGAGAAAATTGAACATGCCGTCCTTGAAGATATTCAAGGAGTTTAAATAATAAATTTACATAGTGATCATATGATTTACATGTGATGAGAATTCTAACTAAAACTACGAATTATTAAGTATTCTGAATTATCCGTTATTTACTAATAAATTCTATATTACTATTATTACTTATTTTCTGTTGTTCATTGCTAAATTCCGTATCTGTATTTGTTTACTATTTATTGTTTATTGTTTACTATTTAATTTTCATTTTGTTGTATTAATTCATACTTCTATTATATTACTTTTACTTCGGTTATATTATTCTTACTTCCGTTATATTAATTCTCATTTGTTTTTCTTATAATTATTTAATGTTTCAATAATAATTTTTCCTTCTTACTTTTTCAGACTTCTGTCTTTCTTCCTTACTTTGCATTACTACTAACTTCTATTCTTCTTCTGATTTCCATTTTGTTTATGATGTTATGTATAACCTTTATGTTACACAAGCTTCTATGTGTTCTAATTCGTTATTCTCAACAAATGTGTCTTTTGTGTACCCTTTATGCATTTTCGTGTAACTTCTTCAAATTGTTATTTTTCAAATATTTTTTAAGTCTTTTCATAAGACCCTCCTCCGTCCGGTTGATTAATTATCCTTTTTTCTTGACCCTCCGTTCGGTTCATTAATTATCCTTTTTTCTTTCGGTAACTAATTTATTTGAATTATTTTCTTCTGTAATTTATCCATCTTGTGTAATCTTTTTTTTCGATCCGTAATTTATCTGAGTATTATACTTTCTCTTAATAAAATGATTATTCCTTCTTCTATCATATGACTTTTCCTTGTAATTTTTATTGTATATTGTTGATCATTTCATTTTGTATTACTGCGACTTAATTAATAAAAATGTTGACTCTATACCATTAATATTTATTCAATAAAAGCATTATAAAACAACAATATTGCTAAATGTTCAATTATTATTAATTATTACTAAAATTTAAAAGCATTAAGTATTAACTATTGATAATTAAAACAAAATTATTAACTTTCTTGTGGAGGAAACATTTCAAAATGGATGTTATTACATTTTAAAAACAAAATCTTATTTACTAAGTCAGGTGCCAAACGTGTTCTTTTCACCGAAATATGATTGCTGACGTTAGAAAATAATCTTTCGCTTGGAACTGACGTTGCCAAAATTGAAAGATATTTTCTTGCAAGTTGTGTTAAAACAGGAAACTATCTTTATGATTTACCTACAAAGTTAAAGGGTCATCTTTAACCTTAAGATTTCCTAATTTTGCATAGTGTGATACTATGTCGTTATCTTCTGTGTCTGTTTGTGTAATATGACCTTCAAGATCACGAAAAATATCACCATCATCATCATTTTGATTCTCATCTTCAGTATCGTCTGGAACTTGAAGATTTACTTTCAATACACCATATAGAGTTTTTACCAAATGATATGCCTTATCTCGTTTGCCATTAGATACCCAATTAAAATGTTTAAATCTTAGGTCAAGAAATGTAGCAATTAAGGCATTATCAGATGGAACAGACTATAATTTATCTAATGAAAGATAAATTGCAGCTCAAACCCTTTCAAGTATCTCGGTAACATCAACTGGTGGTAAATATTCTATCTGATTTGTATCTTCTGCAACGCTTTCAGTTCGTGTTCATTTTCTTATTGGTCCTTGTTGAGTTCATCCTCTTCTTCGGCCACGAGCACTCATTCTTTGATTAAATTGTCAATGCACATATTGCCATTGTTGACGAGTGCCAGCAGCAGATATGTTATCATCAAATATTTCATTGTCATTTTCTTCACAACCTTCTCCATAGATAAGATTTAGATATGAATCAACTGTCTCGTTTTTGTCTGATCTTGAAGAAAATTTTTTTAAGTGACTCTATATATGGGTGAACAAGATTAAGCGTTGGGTAATTTGCGCCATACAAATGTCAGGTCACAATTTCGATTGGTTCCAATAACTTTACAACTTCTTGTAAAAATCTATAATGTAAATAAAAAAAATTAATAAAATAATAAGAAATATAAACAGAAAAGAAGTTAATAAAAAAAACTACTCTTTTTCTGCAACTGATAAATAAAGGCGTTCTAATTTTTCGCTTTCTTTTTGGGAAGCGCGATCTGATTCAGAAAGTAACGAAGTCGAGACGTATCTTATAAAATTATGTAATTCTAAGATACGTTTCTAAGCCAAATAGGTGGAATTCTACCTGGTTTTTACGTCTGTTAAAAGATCAAGAGGCTTTGAACAGTTTCTTCTTCAGCTTGATTAGATTCACCTTACGTCTCACACAAACGTTGAGCCTGCTTT